TAAGAATGCAAAAACTGTTAGAAATTTGTTCTCTAAAACTAAAACACCCTTGTCCACTTTGGAACAAGTGAACACAATTTAATAAATTCCATGCGCTAATTGCGATCTTTGTTACATTGGGCAATCTGGTAGATCATTGAAAGGTCGTCTCACTTCACATCGTAGCGACATTAACTTATCGAAACACACTTGTGCTCTAGCACAACATGCGATAAATACAAAACATGAAGTGGATTTTAATGAAGTTAAGATTCTTGCCACTGAACGCAATCTAGCTAAAAGACAGTTTTTGGAAATGTGTTCAATATTAAAACATCCTAATGCATTGAATAAAAGAACTGACATAAGTAACTTGAGCCAGATATATCATGCTTTAATTTTGCAGAATTAGGCTACTTAATCTTTTCACTACATTAATGTCATATTAGGTGTACTAGTTGAACTTTTTTCCACTTTTCATAAAACAATTTACATACATAAATAGAAATAAAATAAATAAATATATCAATTAAATAACTTAATTTCTTTACTTAATTTTACTATTACATATGCAACCCATATTGCATTTCATTACACTAAATTCTTTGATTAGAGTTTCAAATTATATATAAAAATAATACAAACATTGTAATTGATTCATAGAATCCTTTACAAATCACAGCTCCAAGTATATTGAACCTTGGGCTGTTTGGAAATTATAATATCGTTAACCACCTGGCTATTTAACTTGCCACATGATTAACGTCATCACATTATTATGAGTTTGAATGAAAATCTCCGGTTTGTAAATTTGGGCCGGTTATGAGGGAGTTGTGTTTACACTACCAACTTTTTTCACTGTTGTGTCCTTTACAACCTGGTAGTCATCCAGACTCAGTTATAAAATAAAAAATTAAATTAACCGCCCAAAATTCTGGGTTGGTATTTACACCTTGTTGATCTGTCAAAAGTAATTTTGACCTCAAGGTTGGCTGTCTTTTTGCGGTTTAGTTCGTTTCCTGTTTCATCTAACGCCATTTTCACGGCGACATCGATAGGGCTTTGATCGGTAACTTCATATTCACTATTTTGTAGAATTTTATTAATATTACTTATAATGCTACCTAAAGTTAAAATCAAAGTTTAATATCCATTAAATAGTTGGAGGTTATTTTTATGATTTTCTTGGTTCTTTCTCACTTATTAACATAAATAACATTGAATTTAATTTTGGACCACATGGTCAATTGCTGTGCTAATTTTGTACAAGTTCATATATGTTGTTAGTTGCTTAACTGTTTATACAAGATCAGCGTACTATGTCCATTTACTTAGTTTCATTCACATATTGTTAATAACATTGACTGCTACATATCTTTTTAAGGTAACAATTAACATCGTTTCCATGATTGTGTGGTTCTCATATTGTAATAATTTTTTAGATGAACTGATGATGCTTTCAAAACTCGAAAGCGAAACGTCTTCAAAATAGATAAAGTAGCCTATCAACTTTGTCTTTTATTTCTCCACCTAGAGACCGATATAAGAACCCACCACTCGTGTGAGTGATCCTATATATATATATATATATATATAATATATATATATATATATAAATATATATATATATATATATATATATATCGGTTTAGAACGTCTTTTCGACGTTGTCCGATACCTAAACACCATCTCTTCCTATCTTCGCAGTCGTTTGTTGTTAAATTTCTTTCGCTCATGGACTTGTTTACGCCGTGTTGCCATTCTAATCTGGGTCTTCCTCTTTTCCATCGATCTATCGGTTGCCATTCTACTACTTTTTTGGGGAGTCTTGTTGCTAGCATCCGTTGAACATGCCCATACCACCTTAATTGTGGTATGGGCATGTTCAACGGATGCCCATACCTCAATAAATTCTTCTCCATATCTTGAGTTTTATTTCCTTCTATTCCATACGTTGTTTTATTACATCATTTCTGATTCGGTCTCGTCTGGAAATACTTAAAGATCTTCTCATTGCACCCATCTCTACTGCTTCTATTCGCTTTTTGTTCTTTTCACTAATTCTCCATGTTTCAGCGCCATAAAAAAGAGTAGTTTTAATCAAGGTCTCATATATATTAAATTTTTCTTCCTTCCATTATCTCTTTACTCCACAGTATACCATTGAGACATCCTAAGACTTTCTTTGCTTGAGTGATTCGTTTTTCTATTTCCCGTGTATCAGTTCCTGTATTGTCAAAGGCAACACCCAAGTAGTCATAGCTCTGACAGCAGGAAATATGTTGTCCGTTTTCGAGGTCTATGTTATCTGACTCGTTTCCAATACAAAGATATTTGGTTTTTGTTGTATTGACATTCATTCGCCAGTCGTTATATTCTTCTATCAGTTTTCTAAGCATGTACTGCATGTCTTCCCTGTCGTCGCTAGTACTACCTGGTCATCAGCAAACTGAGTGTATGTATACATTCATTGCTAAGTTCTATACCCATCCTATGCGCCTTTCTTTTCCATCTTTTCAATGCTGCTGCAACATATATCTTGAATAAGGTTGGTGAGATACAGCATCCCTGTCGCAAGCCTTTTGTAACCAGGAATTCTTCCGTTAGATATTTTCCTGTTTTTATCTGTGCCTTTGAGTCTCTATATAGTTCTTATACAGCATTTATCAATGTGTGGTTAATGTTAGATCTTTGCAACGTTGTCCACAATTTTGTTAAGGGGATGTTGTCATATGCTTTTTGCAGGTCTACAAAAGTAATATGAGTTTCTAGATTCTTAGCTGATCTTTTTTCTATTATTTGTTTAAGACAAGATACGTTATCGGTGCAGGATCTTCCTCTTCATTGTTCTTATATTCTTCCTCGATCATATTTCTCAAAATTCGTCCACACAGTCTGCTCAGGGTGCTGGTTACCGATATGCCTCTATAATTATTACAATTCCTTTTGTCCCCCTTTTGTGTATTGAGGACATGTATGCCGTTCTCCACTGTTCTGGTACTGGGTGTCCATTTAGACACTGATTGATCACATAATTTGAGTTTTCAAATAGTTTATGAGTTCCATTCTTAAGCATTTCAGCATAGATTCCCTCAGGTCCAGCGGATTTACCATTCTTTAGGGTCATTACAGCCTTCCTTACTGTTTCGATGTCTACCCTCGCTTCCTCTCCTTGTATATGTCCTGACTGTGTTGGAAAGTTCGCTAGGTATTCTTGTCTTGTCTCTATCAGCAAGCTTTCATAGTGATCTTTCCATTGTCTTGGTTTTATGGTGTGTATGTGTGCTTTTTCTTTCCTGTATTTTTTACTGATTGTATAAAATTCCATACCTCTGTACATTGCTTCCCTCCGATGTATGTATTGATTTCTTGACATTTCTGATCCCATGTTTTATTCTTTTCTTGTTTTATTATTTTTCGTAGTTGTCTATCGGTTTCTTTGTAAGCTTGGTGGTCTTCAGTAGTTTTTGTATTTAGCCATTTTAGATGCTGTTCTTTTTTCTGTTTTACCATATATTCGATTTTTTCGTTCCACCATATTTTGTTACTAATTTTGTTTTGCTGTGTCCCGAGTGTCTCATTAGAGGCCTGGTGTAAACTATCAATAATATTCTCGTAAATATCTGAAAATGTTTGTCTTTCTATTTCTCGTAGTTTTTCATCCAGTCGTCGTTGGTATAGCTGTTTAGTACTATCATTTATAAAACTATTGAAGTTGTACTTCGGAGTGTACTTCGCACTGTCTGCAAGTCTTGCTTGTCTTCTAGGTTTTGGTCTCCGTGTATTATCTTAAATGCGAACAAAATTTTCGCTCTTACTAAGTAGTGATCGGATCCACATGTTATTCCTCGGAGAACTCTTACATTATTCCACTGCAACACAGATTTTTGTTACTAATAATATAATCGATGACTGATTTTAGCTTGCGTGTTTGTTGAATCGATGTGTATCTATGTATGTCCGTATGTTTGTAGAATTCATTGCTAATTTTAACTCATAGCTCTCACATAAGTGTATAAGTCTACCGCCATTATCATTAGTTGCCATTTCTCCAAAAGGTCCTACTACTCTACTGGTTTTCTGATATCCCGTTCTACTATTGAAGTCTCCAAGCATAATTATTTCTCTGTTTTTTTCCTATGTTGTTAAGTATATCCTCGATTTTTTGAAAGAACTCTTCTTTCACGTTATTTTTGCATCATCAGAGGGAGCGTAAGCGGCTATCATGGTAATCTTGTGCCCATATATGTCTATATTTACTCTTAGGATATTCTCATCAATTGCTTCCCAGTTAGTGATATTATTCTTAAGTTTTTTCTTATTAGTATTGATACTCCCCTAGCGGCTCTTTTATCTTTCGGGACTCCAGTGAATATATGTATATAAATTCCTACCATATCAGTGCCAGTTCCTTTTTTCTTTGTTTCAGTTAGTGCTGTAATATCCATTTTCAATGGATATAAAACAATATATATATATATATATGGATATAAAACAATAACATATTTTTTATAATATAAATATATCATCAATTTACCTGTCAAAGTAGCTACTCGTTCTTGTACTTTGGATAACTCAATAAGAAGTGCATTTCCTTCTGCTTCTTGTTGCGTAAATTTTAAAACAGAATATATAATTTCACGAGTTTTTGCACTCAGAATCCGATTTTCACAGCACTTACTCATTTTAATAAAAAAAGTATTTCACTTCTTTAGTTTTTTTATATGAAAACTCTACAAATAACTATTTCACGAATTACGAAGTTATCTGGCAACATTGCAAACCGACTAAAATTGGTGTCCACCATCTAAATGGATGTTTACGCTTCGCTCAATTTCAGACAACTGAAGAGTTATGCCTCGATATACCGGATAGAATAACCTTGAAAGTTACAGCTATTTGTGTCCATCTATGCTTCATAATTATTATAAGTGTGTTAAAATTAGTTAATTAAAATACTTAATCCCTTTGAAGCATTAAAGCCAAAGTTTAATACAATATGTCTTTTTCAGTTCTTAATTATGGACGCCAGATCATACACGACAGCTGTGGCTAATAGAGCACGAGGTGGCGGTTGTGAGTATCCCGAATACTACCCAAATTGCGAAATTCAGTTCATGAATTTGGCCAACATACATTCCATCCGGAAAAGCTTCCACGCTTTAAGACAACTTTGCACATATTCTGCAGATCAACCCAAGTAAGTATATATTTAGTTCGCTTTTAAGAAGAGTTAATTGCTCTTGAATTGTTACTAGAATGTCTCAGCATAACGAACACTTGTCTTGTTATACCTATGTAATAAAATTCGATGTAATTCAGGCAAAGCGTCGAAATCTCGTTTACATAATGACATAAAGATGTTCTTAAAGTTTCTGTGGGTTTTCATAGTGGTATTCCGGGATCCCGAGCCCATTTTCACCCCTTTATTAGTAAAAAGCTAAAAGTTAAAAATCAAAATTGAAAGCAAAGTATATAAATGGGGTATAATCTCAATATACCCACAGTCAATGTGAGAACCATAAAAAGAAATTGTCAAGACCAACTGACCAACATTGGGAGATGTTGAAATCCAGGGTGTCCCATAATTAATTGAACATTACCTAATGGGTGATAGATTGCTCACTGCCTCAAATTGCTTAAGCAAAATGTTGCTATTTTTCGTTCTACTGGGTGATTCATTAATATATATTATTTTTAGGGATATATTGAAAACTATTCAACAGACTTAAGTGAAATTTGTTTTACCATTGACACTAGGTGGCGCCACCTACTATAACATTGGTTCATTAATGTGGCCATTAATGAACCAATGACATTGACTGAACAAAAACATTCAATTTTACACAAACAAAGTATTCTTGTTTTAAATCAAAAAAGTACACCCTTTTCGAAATAAACGTATTTTGTTAATGATACGCATGTCAAAACAAGTATGCTTTGAACTTAATGGCAACGTTAAGACGTAACTACGAATTTATTTATTATTAGTTGTCAAAGTGCAGTGCGAGTCATTATTGATATGGAGATATGGAGAGTGTAATCAACCCCAAATATAGATCAATTGATTCTGAACAAGCTAGTTTTGAAAGTTTATTGAAGAATAAACTAGAAATAATCAAAATATGAAATTAATAAATTCTTAATGGGTATACTCAGTGCAGGAAGTCTAAACAGTCGAGCTGGCTCCCATACGAGGGAAAAATCGGTTTAAATTTAGTACAATTTAAATTAATTGGTGTATTAAGACAGTGAGAGTTTCCATTTATTTCGCTTGTAATTTTCAAATCGTCCAATAAATCCAATTCCAAGTAGTTTTTCTTTCTACTAATGTCATGTAAAATAGATGAACGATGAACCAGTATTGATGTTAAATATGTTTACTGGATAATAAATGGTGACCAAAACTTGAAGAGTTTTGGTCTTTTCAAATGTTCTGTAATTCTAGTAGATAACTTTCGAATGGTTCTACCTACATAAGAGGCATCACAATCATCACATTTTAATTTATAAATACCACTTTTGTCAAGAATGTTCATCCTATCTTTGGTGTTGATTAAAAAGGAACCTAAAGTGTTGTGTGACTTGAAGGAAATTTTGATGTCTTCAATTATAAAAGTAAAAAGTTTTGATATTTTTTTGGAAATGTTGCTAATATAAGTAAAGAAGAAATATTTGATGGTATTTGTAGCATTGGGTTGAAGCAAACATTGTGGTGAATGAGTAAGCTTTTCTGCAATTTTAAGTTTAGCTCTATTTAAAAGCTTATGGGTAATGTTGGGATCATAACCATTATTGAAAGCAATTTGCTTGAGAATATTAAGTTCTAAATTGAAGTTTTCATTAGAAAGTGGAACTTTGAGTAGCCTATAAATGGTAACTGTTGAAAGCAGTCATTTTATGTTGGGTTGGATGATTAGATGTTTCATGCATAACATGATCTGTTTGAGCAGGTTTTCTGTAAATATTGTACTCTAGAGAATCTTTTTTACATATAGTCATATCCAAGAAGTTCAACTTATTTTCAGATTCTGGTTCCAGTGTAAAAGAGATGTTAGGATGGAGGTTATTAAGATCATCCAGAATCTGTAAAGCATCACCTTGGTTTTCCCTGTATGACAGCTATACAATCATCAATATATCTTGACCAAAAAACTATTTTGTTGTTGTTAACAAATCTCTGTTCTAAGCTGTCTAATAAAATATCAGCTAAAAAAGGTGATAATGGAGAACCCCTCGCTTAACCTGTTGGTTGTTTAGGTACTTATATATTTTTTGATTAAATTGGAAGAAGTCCTGATCAAGGCAAAATTTACATAGTTAAGATGGCATCTTTGTCTTTTGCTGATATGTTGCAATTGTTTACAAGGTTGTGTACTAAAGGTAAAGTTTCATCTCTTGGTACAGAAGTAAACAAATTGGAAACATCAAAAGAAACTAAATAAAAACTCTCTTCTATTTTAATGTTATTTACACGTTCTATTATATCTAAAGAATTTGTACTGGAGAACTTAGGTTAAAAATTAGTGATAGACTGAATTGTGTTGTAAATAAACTCATAATATAGAAACTGAAGTGTTACAGCAACTTACGACAGGCCTTATGGGACAATTGTGTTTATGGATTTTAGGAAGTTCATAACCTAGGTGTTATAGGATTAGATACAGTTAACTTTCTGTTTTGATATTTAGTAATAGTATCGTTAAACACCACTGCTTTTGTTTTATTAATAAATGTGTTAAGTCAATTTTTTTCCAAAGTTACAAAACTATTATCTGAACGGAAAGATTCTACTTTCTCTATGTATTGAATTTTGTTCTAGGATTACAACACAATGTTTCTTATCAGCCTTGCTAAGTATTAGAGAATCTCTATCGATTTTTTGTTTAATTGATTTCTATGAAAATTCCGTTTGTACTTACATTTATGTTGTTGAAGGAAGCTAATGCAAGAGTTTCTCAAATACTGTTTAATTTCAGCATTGTTTGTCATACCTTCTATTAGAGTATCCAGTTCACTACAAAGTCTAATACGACTGAGTTAGTTAACCTAAATTCTGACAAGAAAACTCAAGCCTAATCCTAAAAAATACAATTCATCCTCTGAAATGTTAGTGTTACTTAGATTTAAGACTCTAGGATGAAATTGATAACCTGAAAACTAAACTACCTGTGAACAAATTATTACGATAAAAAATACTAAAGAAAGTATACTTATTGAAAAAAGAAATCCGAAAATAAAGGAAGAAGTGCCTCAATTAGCAAATAATTTTTTTTTATAGATTATTAATATAATATCTGTACGACAGGGAACAACGAAACAGTGTCGTTATGAAGTACTTATGTAGAGTGATACGCGCTAGAAATCATTGAATGACAATAACCTTCTTTGTATATTAATGACAATACATATTACCGTATAAATTTTCCAAACCCTTTATTTATTATAAAAAATACACTAACCTGTCACGTGATATTTTTTGCCCTACAATTGCTAATAAAAAAAATTGGTTTTGTGGTATTAACACCTTTTGAACGTAGGATAAACCAGGGTAACGTACCACACAATTTGTAGGACAATGTGGGTGTAAAATTATATAAATATTACCTAACTAACAGACAAAAAATCAGGTGGTTAGTAATTATTTTTCATGACTTCGTTAATGATAAATGTTGGAAAGGAATAATTCTTTGATAAACCTTGCATTTTGTAGGACAAATATTTTTTGGGATAACTCAGATAATTATCTTGAGAACAAACAAGAAAAAAGCCCGTTAGTAATAAATGTTTGAGAATCGTTGAATCAACATATTTCATCCCTGCTACCCCTCTTAGCTACCCCAAACGCAAATTGTTGTACAGGAAAAAGTTGGTTGTCTTATCAAAAAGAAGCTACTCACGAAAAATTAGCTTGTTAGTAATAAATGGTGAAAATGGGCCTTGAATCCCGGACTATGGCGCAACAAGCTTTGAGTCACTAGAAGTTTCGCGATCTAGTGTTTGTGTCTTACAGGTGCGTCTGATGCTCGTTAAGTATAAATTATTACATTTGGTCATGAATGATTGTTGTTGTTTTAGTTTTTAATGATTGGGGCATTTTCTTGTAAACATGGATAAGGACATGGACTTAAAACCGATTGGGCTCCGTGCACTCCGGTTCGCATACTGTTCAGAGTGGAACCTTCATTATTTTACCTATTTAGTTTTATATTTTTTCTTATATTTGAATAACATAATACTAAACTATGATAACCAGATCAATTTCTATATCGAATATAGTTAAAATGCGTCTAAATGATATATATAAATTTACTTCAGATGATGAAAATTGTTAAGATCTTTATTAAGTAGCTCTGTGTTGCTACTGATATCAACCTATAAACTTTTGTTAAAGTTAAATCTTTTTTCTGTAAATTAAATATTGCGTATCTAAAATTCTTTTAATTTTAGTTGGTACAGTCAGCTGGAGGTACGCGTTGGCTATCCCACATGTCCGGCTTGATGAAAGCAGCAGTAACACTAGTAGCTGCAGTAGAGAGAGATGCCAGACCTGTCTTGGTGCATTGCTCAGATGGTTGGGATAGAACGCCGCAAATTGTGGCCTTGGCTGAGCTTCTGCTTGATCCATACTATCGTACTATCGATGTAAGTAAATTATTTCTGAATTAGAAGTATCAGTAGTTATGTATCTAGTAGAAACTTATGGTATTTATGTTTTTATTTGACCTCTTAAATTATTTTTAGGGTTTTCGCATTTTAATCGAACGAGAATGGTTAGCATTTGGTCACAAATTCGCCGACAGATGTGGTCATTCCTCAGGGAGTGATGATCAAAACGAACGATGTCCCGTTTTTCTTGCAATGGTTAGATTGCGTGCATCAATTGCTTCTACAGTTTCCTTGTGCATTTGAATTTTCACAGATTTTCTTGGTAAGTAAATTTTCTTGATTAGTTAATTAATTAAAAACAAAAAGGAAGTTTTATAGCACAAAAAATGAGATAATAAATTAATAATATTGTAAAACATTATTAATAATGTATTCAGGTTGTCACATTCTTCAACAATGTGACAACCAGTCTCTCGTTGCGCACCAAAGTCACACTCAGGAGTATGGGTTTTTCTCCATCTATATAAGCTGTCAGCACATCTACCGCTGCTTGTTCTTATTTTGTTTAGCGTTGTCGATGTATTGCGGGTCACATTCTTCAACAATGTGACAACCAGTCTGTCGTTGCGCACCGCAGTCACACTCAGGAGTATGGGCTTTTCTCCATCTATATAAGCTGTCAGCACATCTACCGCTGCTTGTTCTTATTCTGTTTAGCGTTGTCGATGTATTGCGGGTCACATTCTTCAACAATGTGACAACCAGTCTGTCCTTGCGCACCGCAGTCACACTCAGGAGTATGGGCTTTTCTCCATCTATATAAGCTGTCAGCACATCTACCGCTGCTTGTTCTTATTCTGTTTAGCGTTGTCGATGTATTGCGGTCACATTCTTCAACAATGTGACAACCAGTCTGTCGTTGCGCACCGCAGTCACACTCAGGAGTATGGGCTTTTCTCCATCTATGTATACAGTATTGGAAGATTCAAAACGGAACATACGAATTATTAATACAATTATTAAGATCCCCTGAGCTGCAATTACCCAGTGTAAATTTCAATATAACGTCGCGATGTCTTATAATTAATTCATTTGTTCGACTGGATTGCTACTCCTTCGCGATTTCTAGAAGCGTATTCGACAGGTGTACGTCGACACTGTTTTGTTCTATCGTCCACTGATTTTCTGTGTTTTTGTGCAGATAATAACAATGTTTTTATTAATAACAATTTTTTTTGTGTTCATTAGATATTATTTGAATTGGTTAGTGTATAGTTTAATATATTATTATTCCAAATATTGTCGATAATTTAAAATTTAAAAGGATGTATATGATACATCAAAATCTACAGATTTTTGCAGAAGGTATCTATCGATTGGGCAACAGTCCCAAGGAACATCACTGGCGAGCAAAACAAATACATGCCCTTTGCTTTGCTTCTCATTATAACGCCATAAGCTGAAATAAAAGTAGTGTTTTCTAACCATAAACCATGTAAACAAACAAAGAAAAAGTACACATTTTAAAATGGTATTTTGGGGGCAACTCGTACCGTGATATTATAAATTTATTTACTTGTGCCTATGAAGATAGGCCAATACCGACACAATCGACTATTAGTCGTATTATAAAAAATTTGAATCGTTTGGTTGTGTACAAAACTGTCAAAAATGTACGGATCTACCACGAGAGAAAATAATCAACGAAGTTAGGCAAAATAGGGAAATTGATGTCTGTAGTCTTGCTGAAACTATGATCCTTGTTCAAGCAAAACTAATTCGTTTTTATTTTAATTTTTAGAAATCTACTTTATTTAATTTTTAGAAATCTACTTTTTTTGTGCTATTATGGCAATAAAAATATAACAATTTCTTTTAATAAAATAATATTTTAATTCCATATCTACGTAATATTGTAGATTTTTGGCGCTTTGAGATATAGCCCCTACTGTATTCCGTTTTATACTAGCAGCGGCTTGGCGAGATGCAAGATTTTATTATTCTATGATCGTTTGTGTTTAGTAAGGTGCGCACGTGCGCAGCAGTCGAAAAATATCGACTGGAGAAGGAGTCCAGTCGAACAAATGAATTAATTATAAGACATCGCGACGTTATATTGAAATTTACACTGGTTAATTGCAGGTCAGGGGATCTTAATAATTGTATTAATAATTCGTATGTTCCGTTTTGAATCTTCCAATACTGTATAAGCTATCGGCACATCTACTGCTGCTTGTTCTTATTCTGTTTAGCGTTGTCCATGTATTGCGGGTCAGTTCAAAGCCTGAGATTTCTGATCGATACAGGCCATTTATCTGATGTGCTTCCTATGGTGAGGCGCTCTCCCATTGTGTTCTCCAAGCTTTGGTGAGTTGAAGTGTTCCTGATGTATGAAGTTGCTCTTAACAATGGAGGATATCTGGATCGCAGTCTGTTTATTTCGATATCAAGCTTATCATGGTGGATGGGCAGTTGATGGTTAGTCTTGATTTTTCAATATTCTGTGAGAAAAGAATAACTTCTTTCGCAGTTTCGGCGGTGGAATGTGACTCAGAATGGGAAGCTAATAGTTCGGTGTTTGTCTAATTATTGTACCTGAGATCATTCGGATTGTCTGGTTTAATCTGGTGTCAATAATTTTTGTGTGTTTGCTATTGAGCCATACCGGGAAGCATATTCAGCCGCCGAGTATACAAGTCCGAGGGCGATGGTCTGAGTACGGAGGCTGAGGACCACCAAGTGTGCCACATAGCTTTTGGACTATATTATTTCGCGTTTTCAGTTTGCTGTCGTTTTTTGCTGAACTTAATGTTCTCTCCAGAGTCACTCCAAGATATTTTGGTGCTGAGTTATGAGTGAGCACTCCGTTTTCAAAGTGTACGGAGAGTTTTTTGTTGGCTTGGGCATTAATCAGAAATGGTTTTCGTTGCATTGGCCGTATTCTCCAAATTTTTTGCGAAGTTGTCTCAGGAAGGTCAGCGATGTATAAATTAAACAGTAGGGGAGCCAAAACAGATCCCTGTGGCTGTCCATTTTTTTAAAGTTGCCCATTGTAACCTGAAAAAATCTGTCGGTAGGCATGCTATCAATGAGTTTATTTCCTTTGGACGCGGGATGGTACGGATTAGTTTGCAGATTAGTCCCTTGTCTTCAGACAGTATTGTAACGATAAGACTACCCAAGAGAATTGAAGTACTATTATAAAAATAATACCTCAATCAGCCATGGGAACTTATCGCCTATGCCTTGCCTAGCTCAGTATCTCAAGTGTGAGTTCCTCTTGTCTTAAATTAGGATTGAACCTGAACTCTTAGCTGATAGCAAATAAAAGAATTCTTAATCAATCATATTTATTAAAAACAATAAAAAAAACAATCAATCCTGAAAAGCTTAACAATTAATTCGTGATACTTATTGCTGCGATGGGCTGCTTGTGTGTTGTAGATGTTAGGTCCTCCAATGGTCAATATATTTTCATAATTTGATAAGAATTTAGGTTAGGTCCTCCACTGGTCAATAAATTTTCATGATTTGATTAGAATTTACGTTCTTCTTCTTGTAGTTCCTTCTCCTATCGAAGGTTGGCTATCATCACAGCTATCCGTAAGTTATTGGCGTCTGCTCTAAAAAAAATCTACTGAGCTGCAACTATACCACTCTCTTATGTTTCTCAGCCAGAAATTCTTCGTCTTCCTATGGATCTTTTACCCTTGATTTTACCTTGCATTATGAGCCTTCTTCTTCTTTTTGTGCCACTCCTATCGGAGATTGGAAATCATCAAGGCTATTCTGACCTTGTTTACGGCTGACCTAAAGAGTTCATTAGTGGTGCAGCCAAACCACTCTCTCAAATTCCGCAACCATGACATTCTTCTACGGCCTGGATTCCGTTTTCCTTCTATTTTTCCCTGCATTCTATTTTGAAGTAATGCGTATTTATGTCCTCTCATCAGTGACCAAAATATTCGAGTTTTCTTCGCTTTAGCGTTAACAAAATCTCTGGTCTTTTCCTATTCTTCGTATTACTTCACAGTTTGTTATTCTTTCAACCCAACTAATCTTCAGCATTCGACGGTAGCACCACATCTCGAAACTTTCAATATTTTCGTGTTGTTCTGTTTGAGAGTCCAGGCTCTACACACATATAATAGCGTGTTAAATACATAGCCTCTCAGCATTCTTAATCGTAGGGGATGCTTATATTTCTGTTGCAGAAGAATTTTCTCATCTTTATGAAGGTGGCCCTGGCAATTTCGATACGTCTTTTTATTTCACTGTTTTGGTCTCCAGTTTCGTTTATTAAAGTTCCAAGTATTTGTAACTTGATACTTTTTCAACTTGAGTGCCGTTTATACTAATATACGCTGGTTGTGTCATGTTTTTACTGAAGACCATATACTTGTTTTTTTTAATATTGATATTTATACCATAATTGTTTGCAAGCAATATTTATGTCTGTAAGTACTTACAGACATAAATTATTGAGCCATAATATCTCAATATTTCGCATCTCTGGTAATGTGGCCTAAATATTCCAGCTTTCTTGTTTTGATGTGCTTTATGTCCTCGCAATCCTTTTGTAGCCTTCTAACACTTCTGCATTTGTAACTCGTTGGTCCATGGTATTTTCAAAATCCTTCTATAGCACCACATATCAAATGATTCCAACTTCTTTATATTAACCACTTTTAGTGTCCAGCTTTCCATTCCATACAACAAACACGTAGCATCTTAAGGCTCTTATCCTCAGATCCAGAAGAAGGTCTCGATTGACAAACATTGTTTTCATTTTTATAAATGCTTGTCTTGCAATTTCAATGCGTGTCCTTATTTCTCTACCTCGGTCATTGTTGTCATTTACTCAGGTTCTCAGATATTTGTAGTTATTCACTCTTTCTTCTTGTTTTCCCTCGATATCTAGCCTTCCTACTGTATGTTGCTTGAAATAATCATGAACTTGTTTTCTTAATGTTCATTTGTAGTCCATATTTGATACTGACTTGATGTAATCTGTTTTACTAAGCGTTGCAATGCTTTTGAGAACGTTGCAATGCTTTTAGAAGCGTTACAGAATTAGGAAAGTCCTCCAATAGTCTTGAATAAAATAATCAATAAAGCAACCAATAAACCCAATAAACTAAAATACAGGGTGGTGAATCGGCAAACGGGCCATAGGAAACTCAATGGTAAATTCTAAATTGTTGAATTCCTGCTTCCCTAATTATTTAACACCAAAAGTCATGGAAAACTTTTTGTAGAGGACTCAAATATGCATCGAAAACAACTGTTAAAATTATTCTACGACTTAAACGTATTCCAAAATTTTGCTAAAAAATAATACATTTTTCTGTGAAAAAAATGTGTATTACGTGTTGCGTTTTGTCATATTATTGTTTCTGATATTTGGCAATATTTAAATCAATTATATATATTTATGTATGATTTAAATGGCCAAAATTTTGTGATTTATTGTTTAAAAAAAAATTAAGTTGATTAAAGAATGTACTCAGTTGAGGAAAAAAAGCAATAATAAAAATGTATTTATTCATGTTTTATTATAACATTTGTTATAGTTTTATGTTTAGAAATAAATCAAATATATTATTAGGAATAAAGATCACAGTAACAGTATATTGGAATTCATTGAATTGTTGTATAACTAACATGGAATTAAATTTTAGTGAATTAGAATATCTTACTTAAATAAAGATCCGGTAGTGGCAGGAAAAGGTTCGCGCTATTGCCTGAATACTACATTATGCGATTTTTCGTCAACTGAGTACATTTCATTATATTGATCGATTTGTAAACAATATAATTTATTGTTCACAAAGTAATAATGTTCAGTAGTAGTAGTAGTATTTAGTAAAATTCATTGTTTTTAATTTAATCATAAAATAAAAAAAATTGACAATTGAAATTGTCAAACATCTGACATTAATATGATAAAACACACACGTCCTAATATATATTCTTGCATTACGTGTGCCTAACTTTTAGGGTGGTCTGAAAAATGTATCACATTTTTTCAAAATTTTGAAGTACATTTGATTCGTAGAACGGTTTTAACATTTGTTTTTAATTCAGATTTTAGTCCTCTACAAATAGTTTTTTATGACTTTTGATCTAAAATAATTAGGAAGCAGCAATTCAACAATTTAAAATTTCTCATTGAGTTTCCTATGGCCCGTTTGACGATTCACCACCCGGTATAAGAAACAGCTTGCATTAGAGACACATTAAAAGGGGTTTAACTTCCTGTCATTTTATAAAATTACAATTAAACAAATAGCGAATGACAAGGATGAAATGAAATATAATTACTATTACTTAGTTAAATTCTGTTAAGATTCCTACGTGCATATAATCTCGATGATATAATCGAAAAACGTGCTTTCGAAAGAATTGAGGTACAAATATTGGAAATGCTGGCAGAATTATAGAATAAAGATTACAATGAAAGTACTCACCCCAAGAGAATTTTGTAGACCATAAAATGAGTCTAATTATAATTTTGCCTTCTTTTATAAATTTCAAAAGCAGGCAAAAAATTATATTATATAAAAACGTTAGAAAAGTTGACAGAAAGTAGGGAACTGAATGAAGTTAGCACATATGTCATAGAATGTTGCTATTTCATGAAATTAGCTTGTCTGTTAATACAAACCAGAATATTTAGTCTGCCGGGCAGAAAGAGAGGGGACGGATATTTATTCTACGGGGCAGAAAGAGAGAGGAAAGAAAGACAGAGGAAGAAAAGAAAAACAGAGGGCACCAACTACTTTTTGAAGAAAAAAATAGTAAAAACGAAGCTGAAGTTAAAGAAATTAATAAATTAATAAAGAAATTAAAATAAAATAATTATTTAAATATAAATTAAGGATGTGACGTTTATAACGTTACAGTATAGTAGGCAGCTGATAGGTCAATGAAAGCAACGAATATTTTTTGCTTTCCTTGACAATCCTCTTCAATATGTGTTGTAAGGGATATGATCTGATCTGTGCAGCTGCGGTTAGGTCTGAACCCTGCTTGTTCAATAGGTATCAATTCAAATATGTTTCTACTAATTCTGTATAGATATTAAATTTTACTTTTGTTTTGTCGTTTCGATCTCCAATCCGGAGATCGTTTGTAAAAAGATTCACGAGAAAAGATTCAAAGGAGTCATTATGAACAAAATCGCGTACCACAATCAACAACATGGAATTAATATAAAAAAAAACCAAAAAATCTTCAAAAAGAAAGAGTAAAGAGAACCTCACTACAACTACTGTGGCACCATCATAAATGAACAATGGGCAAACAACCAGTAGATAATAGCGTGCACCGGAAAAGCTGATCCACTTTCAACTGGATGAGGACCTTCTTTGAAAGCCACAATCTATCTCTTGGTATAAAAGTAAAAATAATCTGCACTGTTTCATTTTATGTGTTGAATTTCTAAATGATATCTTTCTTTATGTGCCGTCTTCTACCGAAGGTTGGCGACCATCATACGATAGTTTCTCTGTTTTGTGCCGCATGAATTATGTTCGCAGCTTCTGGTATTTGAAAACCATTCTCTCAAGTTTCTCAGCCAGGATTTCTTCTTTCTGCCCAAACCTCTTCTACCTTCAATCTTGCCTTCCACGATAAGCTGTAGCAGACTGTACTTATCATTACGGAACACATGGCCCAGGTATGACGCTTTCCTCCTTTTTACAGTTGTTAACAATTCCACCTCTTTACCCATTCGTCTTAATACCTCTGTGTTGGCACTCTGTCCTGTCCAAGGTATTCTCAGTATGCGTCGATACAGCCACATTTCTAGAGCCGCTAACTTCTTTATAGTTGCTGTTGTTAACGTCCACCCTTCTACGCCGTAAAGTAGCGTAGAGAGTACGTAGCATTTCGTGGCGCGCCATCGGAGGTTAATGCTTAGGTTGCAGTTGCTTAAGAGCTTTCTCATTTTTGATGAATTTGGATCTTGCTATTTCAATTCGGATCTTAATTTCTACTTCTGGGTCCCACTTGTCATTTACTGTATATCCCAGATATTTAAATCGGTGTACTCTTTCATACGTTCGTCTTCAATATGCAGGTCGATATGTTGAAATTTTTTTTTACTGATCACCATAAATTTAGTTTTCTTCTATTGATCTTCAGTCCAAATCGGCTGCCAGTTGTATTAACTCTATGTAGCATCATCTGTAAATCTTCGATGTTATCGGCAGTATAATAGTATCATCTGCATATCGAAAAATTACTTATTGGTACGCCATTAAATCTGATGCCCTCAATGTACTCTTCTAGTGCCTCTAGAAATATTTGTTCCGTGTACAGGTTGAAAAGCAGTGCGAAAGAATACAGCCTGTCTTACCCCTCTAGAAATGGTTATGTTTTCACTCACCATATGTCCCAATCTTCATGTGGGCTGTTTGATTCCAATATAGATTTTTTATAATCTGGATGTCCTTAGTGTCCAAGACCTGAAAGACGTAATAGTTCTATGATTTGTCATGTTTGATAGTATCGAATGCTTTTCTCATAGTCGATAAAACAGACGTAAACATCTTTCTGTTGATCCAGGCATTTTTGAATCAAAACTTGTATGTTAATGATATCTAAAATAAATAAATACGAGGGCAACGGAGAAAGCGCTGGATCTATGTAATTTTCTCATTACATATGAATGTTTTTTATCCTCTTCATTATGTAATATGTAATTTACTGATGCGTCCTTTTTATTATTTCAGGTAAAGTTGGTGCAGCACGTGTACTCAAACTTGTTCGGAACGTTTTTATGCAACACACAAAGAGAAAGATCGAAGATTGTCTACGGCAAAACCTTTTCCATTTGGGACTTTCTCAATTCTCCATGTTTTAGAAATCACTTATATCCCACTATAGGTACAAACACATACAACAGAAGGGTAAGTTTTCATTTAATGAAATACACAAATTATCTATAATATTATATAAAGATTTGAAACAACTGTCAAATGAATAATTCATTTTTTAATTAGTTGTTTTTTTCTTAACAGATAGTTGGTTAAAGTTTAATGCTATAAGGAAATTGTTACAGAATTGAATAAAAATCGTTATAAAACGCTATAGATGTAATTAGTGGAAGATAGTTTCATAATACATTAGTTTTGACATCATCTGATGTCTTCTCCAGGGCTTCCGAGGTCTCTGTCTCCCGAGCCATCATACACTGATCACTATACCGTCGATAGTGACGTCGTTTGGGTTGAAGTTGACGTGGAAGTTGTCGCGAACATTTCTGTGTGAGGTTTTCATTAGAGGGTGAAGCAGGCGATATTTTCTTAACGAGAAGTCTCTATGTCGAAGGTAACCGGATGCTGTCATCTCATTTATTAAGACAATTTGGCCTTAACAAACAAATTCCAAAACCTACAACTTTTAAACCCACGGCAGTGGTTTACAAATTTTCTGATACCCCTATTTCGACCATTACACTTAAACTTTAGCAAAAGATTTCAATTACTCTATTATCTCAAGTCACATTCCAATTGATTGTCAATTCAATCAAAGATAAATTGACAATCATCCGTCAAACTGAAGAAGCCATCTCCAGTTTATCCGAAGATGCTGAAATAACTAGATAAGACACAGCTAGAGTTCTTAGAAACCCAAAGCCTCCTACTACGCACACTAGCTAATGTGGATTGCGGGAAAAAAGCCCTGAAAGAACTTCAGTTAAATTCAAATCTAGTAATTCTTCTCGCCGATAAACAAAAGGCCACCGTCACCTAAACATTTTTTCTTATATTGTAAACTCTCAAATTCTCATTAATACTCAACACTGCAAACCAATTCCTAATAATCCAACAAACCGTCGGCTTACAAGCGAAACACACAAGTCAATTTTTTTTCACTTTTGAGTTATTTGCAGCATTTTATTGTATTTTTTTTACTCTTTAGACTTGTTAAACTCACTAAGTCATACAATAACAAAAACGGTTATTTTTATAAGTATCATGTTTCTCACTAAGTCTGAAAAACTATATATAATTCAGGCAAAACACACTAAGTGACTTAATGTATTTCACTTGACTACGAATGAACCTACCGACTGACTTACGCAGAACAACTTATCCAATCTTGTAAAAAATTAATTATTTGTTTGGGTATATTGCATAGGTTTTGTCAGTTTTATTCCAGTATTTTGCGTGATTAGGTCGTTAACAGTTTTTGAATTTTGTGTGTATTTAATAATTAATTTCTGTAAGAAAAATAAAATTTTCTGTCGAACTACCTACAGCGATAAACAAAGACGTGAGCCTAAATTCTGATAATTTTTGTTAAGATATTCAGTCAGGTCCTCCTCAAATAAGTGACCAGGATTCTGATGAATGTATGGAGGATAGCGACTATATTCCTTCAGGTAATGAAAGTGATAATTTAGATACCAGCGAAAGAAACTCTACAGCAGACGAGGACAAAACAAATTCAAATGAAAATAGTCAAGTAGACCTAGAAGAAGCCGATGGAACACCCCAAGACCATCTGTGTGGTCAACATCCCAAGACCATCAACTTTTCTGAAGAGAACCGGAAGTTGCTATGTCAAACTTATGCGATGTTGTCATTTCAAAGACAGAAAGATTTTATATTCTTGAATGTGCTTTCTAATAAGGTAAAGAGTCGCAGGTCTAGAAAAGGAGAAAAGAGCGAAATGCGATCCAACGCAAAATCCTATTTTTTCACAAATATGGGAAAGAAAAGTCAAGTGTGTCAGAAATTTTTTTGTAAAACATTTTCTATTTCTAATAGGCCTATAATTAATGTCTTTAAAGAGCAAAATGTAAGCGGCGAATACAGTGGAATAGACAGAAGGAGCCGTAGGATTCCTGGCAATAAAACTTCAGTGGAAGCAAGAATAAGAGCAAAAAAACACATTGAAAGCTTTCCTGATGTAGAAAGTCACTACACTAGAAAGTCTTCGAAGAGACTTTATTTAGATTGCAATCTTAATATTAAAAAAATGCACGACCTGTTCGTTAAAAAGTGTAAAGAGGACAATTTGCCAAACTTAAGTTAGATAACCTATAGGCGAATCTTTTGCAAGGAATTTAATATATCATTTTTCAAACCTAAGAAAGACCAATGTTTGACCTGTAAGGAATACACAAAAGCATCGCAACAAGAAAAAGAAGAGATGGAGCTTAATTATGGGAGTCATTTAGACAGAAAAGAGGCTGCAATGAAAGAAAAAAATTCAGACAAAGAAGTATCGAAAAAGAATAAAAAATTTAAATTAATTACATGTGATATGCAAAGCGTTTTACAAATTCCATCATCGCAAGTAAGTCTCTTGTATTATCTTAGAAAGCTGAACCTCTATAATTTTACAATTTAGGAATCTGCTCCACCAAATGAGGCATTCTGTTATTTTTGGACCGAATTCAATGGTAAGCGTGGAAGATGTGAAATTGGTACTTGCCTAGGAATGTACATTAATTCATTATCTGATATAGAACATCTAACGATTTTTTCAGATACGTGTGGAGGACAGAACAAAAATATTCAAGTATCTGCTCTGCTTTTACATATTGTTAAAAACCATCCGAGTCTTCGGATAATTGATCAAAAGTTCATGGAATGTAGACACTCCTATATGGAAGTAGATTCCATGCATAACGCTATTAAAGTGCCAAAAAAAATGTGGAGATTTTTAGTGTTCACGAATATGAAAATGTCTTTAAAATGGCCAGAATGGGCAACAATGGGAATAAAAAATCTTCCTATAATACTCGTGAAGGTAATTATAACGAATTCTTAGATTTGAAAAAAACTTGCACAATATGCTATTGTTAATAAGAAAGAGGATCAAAAAGGCAAACGGTCAACTGGTTAAAGGTAAAGTGTTTTAAGTATGATAAACAGTTTCCTAACATTCTATAGTACAAGTATAATTTTCACGACGAATATGAAAATATTAACGTTAGTTTTGTACGTCGTGCTTCTAACAGAACAGTCAAAGAGGATAATAATAATGAAAATTTGGTTATTCCTCAATTATATTCTAAACAGCTTCCAATTTCGGATGCAAAATATAGTTCCGCAAAAAAAATATAGTTCCGCAAGCGCTCCTCTTCTGTTCGAGACCAAACAGCGGAGTCAGCTGAAAAGGACTCTATACACGTTTTGTTTTGTTATACCTGTTTTTTTTTAATAATGTTCTTGTTTTGTGAAAATATACATGAAAAAAGTAAAAACTTATATAAGCAAAAATAATTGTATTATTTACAATGTAAACCAAGCCTGCAATAATCGTATGACAGTAAGTAAACAAAAAAAAAAATACACGTAAGTCATACTTTCATAGCAAAATTAAACAAGTAAAACACGCTAATTTAAATGCTACATGTAAAAAACATTAAGTCAACGTATTCAAATCGAAAATTAAACAAAAATTAATAATTTGGTAATATATAATTTATTTCTCCTTGTCAGTAATCATTATTAATACTTTATGAAAACTTTCGTATAATTACAAAACAAGAAATAAAAGTTTTAACTGTGAAAATTGATCAAACTGTTTTTAAAAAAATTTAAAACACGATTATCTCAAAACTATATTTTTTGACTTAGTGTGTTTCGCTTGTAAGCCGACGAAACTATCTAGAGAAAACAACAAAAGCTGTCATCAATGCTGTTGACATAAAACAAACTTGACAAAAATTCAACCTCGTGAAAAGTCTTCTAAAACACCTCGAAAATATGGCTTCAAAAACCCGAGATTCGTCTACAGTGCATACAGTTGCCATACGCAATTATTAGTCAAATACTAGGCCAACACTCTATTACTTCTCGCTTCAAATACTTCATCCTTCGACAAAAATTATTTTCATTTTAGTATCTCACCGTTAGACATTCTAGTAAGTTTCGATATCGTTTCACTCTTTACAAACATTCTTATAGACGAAACTCTAAACACTCTGAAAACTAAATACAGTATCCATCAAGACCACTTATCTCTCATTAAACATTGTATTTCCAACACTTATTTTTTCATCTTCCAAAATCAATTCTACAGACAAATTAATGGTGCCACAATGGCCTCCATACTATCTCCAGTAATTGCAAATATCATTATGGAAGAATTCGAAACACGAGCAGTATCCACATCAATACCCAAACCCACATGTTGGTTACGATATGTTGACGATACATTCGTCCTTTGGTCCCACGGCAGGGATTCTTTGGTGTCTTAAGAAAAACCAATCGCAAGGTTTTCATCACTCTGTTTGTCGAAAGCCCACCCATACCAATCGTTACTTGCATGCCAACTTTCATCATCAACCTTCACAAATTAATTCAATTAATACTCTTGTCTCCAGATCCCTATACCTTCGCAATGATGCAAGTAGATCCGCTGAACTCTGGTTTAAAACAAGCCCTTATCCAAAACGGTTACTGAGAAAGTCACATCAATAAGAGCATCAACAGACATTAATCTCCCACTCAACCTAAACCAAAAGACTCAAATTCTCATCATACGAAAGCTTTTCTTCCTTACATCAAAAGTGTCCCTCACACAATCGACAAAATTCTTAAATCAAGAGGAATAAAGACAATATTTACCCCTCAATAAAAACTTTCATCTCTTGTCCAACCAATCAAAGACAACATTCCAAATGAACAACACGGAGCTTGTGAAATTTCTTGTGCAGAATGCCCCGGCCCTATATAGGCCAAGCAAATCGTAGAATCCAAAATAGGATCTATGAACATTCTATTTTTGTTCGCAATTCCGATTCAATTTCAGTCCTAGGACAACGCCATCTTCATACAGGTAACAAAATTGATTTTGAAAACTCCAGAACCATAGCTCCATCCGTATCTATAAATCAAGAATTATTCGGGAAGCTATAGAAATTTAAAAAATCGTCAAATTGTCTCAATAAACGAGATGACGGCATGCGGCTACCTTGATTCTTGATATCAGAAGTGACCCCAATTACTACTCCATTCTCTCTCGAACCCTTCTGCCCTTCTATTTTTCATATTTTTGAGAGCATGTTGAATTTTCTCCCTTGATATATTTGATATTATAACCCGATCCTACAATTTGTATCTACCTTTCATATTGGCTGTTCGATGAGCTCTGGAATAACTAGATTTTGATATAATGCTGTTATTAGATGCTGATGAGTTTTTAATGCTATATGTTCAATTCTCAATCGGTTGATGATCACTTGTTGTCTTTTGCTTTGGTGTTTGTAGTTTGACATTAAACTACTTTTATTGACTTAAAGTTCGGATTAAATATCAATATTTACAATAGTTAAACTTTAGTTTGGACTGAATAAATGATAGTGAATTTGACAAATGTATTTTTAACAATATGGCCGCTACCAACTGTCAAACTTCGAAAATCCCTATTGAAAGACTCTATACAGAACGAGGAAGTTAAAATATGTACAGAGCCGACTTGTGCCGTTAGGGGTAAGGACTGTAGATTTCGGTATTGGATATTTTAACTAGCCACTTACACGTTGGATGTAAATTTAGGCAGTCATCTCTATTTTGAGTTTTCCTTCTATTTCTGTAGCTTCTCTTATTGTTCTTGTCTTGTAGTGTGGAAGGACCGATCTCTTTGCAAAAGCTCTATATTTTGTGTCTCTTGGTATGTTGATGTGGGAATAAGGTGGACGAGATTTGCTGATTTGAGTGAACACCTGATTTGTGTCAGTTTGTCCTATATATTTGTGAGCACAAGTTCCGGAGGATATACTGTACTCACCTTTTTTGGATTTTGAAATGGAAAGATATCCTTAGCAGTTCTTGGTGTTGGCCTTAAAGTTTGTAATGGTGTCTATGCACTTGCTATATTCCGTTAAAGTATGACCCATCCAATTATGTCTGCGGTTACCGTGATGTATCATAGGAAAACATTCTGTATGGTGTTTGGCTTGTAGTCATTTTGTCTCTTTTGATCTAAATTCATAAAAGTTTTAGAACAATACTTGAAATGATATAAAAAACTCATTTCTATTAAACAAAACGATTAATATTTTCTTTTCTAGGTATTATGGCCCCAATATAACGTTCGCGACTTATACTTGTGGTCCGAAGTGTATTTGGGTTCGATCGAGGACAGTTCTAATCCAGAAGAAAGTTCAAATTTTTGTCCGGAAACATGTGATTCATCTCCAAACTATATGACCAAGACGAGGTCTTACGGCGATTTGATCAATGATGGAGAAAGCTCTGCATATCACTATCGTAGGTCTAGTGATCCCAGTATCAAGTGTGATCCGTAAGTATTTAGTATTTGCCTTTACTAGTTTTTTACTTTACATATTTTTTTACAATTACAATAGTTTGAAATTAATTAATTGAAGACTATGCTCACTTTCAAGTTACTTCTGTATACACTATATTTAACTTATTATCGTAATGAAATAAATTGATCGATATATTGTAGCAAAATGGTTCTCACTTCCAAGGAAACGAAAACGAACGGCCACGACACGATTCACCTAGACGACAGAGATCAGCAGAATTTTTTATCAAACTTTCTGCTCGATGACGGTGATTGCAACCAGGATTGCATGTTTAACGGCAACAACATTTCCACCGACGACCAAATCGCCGAATTAGAACAAGCCGACAGGAAAGTGCTTTATGCGAAAGGTAAATTGGTTTTTTATATAGATATTGATTAAAATATAAAAAAATAACATTGTAAGGCGTCGTTCTCAATACTACTTCTTATTTAGTTTGATCTTAACCTTACAGTCGCTCATGGCTTTGATGTCCAAGGCAACTAATAAATAAGAGCCCTAACAACTAAATGTTCAAACAAACTAAAATTTATTAAAAACGTTTATCTTCACAACTTTGCTTATTAAACCAGAGAACGAGATCAACAATACATTGAACTTTATCATTAATAACAAAATATTGAAATGGTTCGGTCTTCATAAACTTTTAATTGCAGCGTTAACGGCAAAATAAACGAAAATGTTGCATGACATTGTAACAACTAAATATTTGGATAATTCAAGAAATTACTATTTTAATATGGGGTTACTTTATCGCGCTCCTTTACAACCGCGGCAATCCTGTCTGACATTGTTCGTACTAAGTGTACAAAAATGGTGTACATATGTGAAATGATGAGGACAATTTCACTGTATGTGGACTGTATTACATAGGGCTGGTTCAAATAAATTAGGATATGTAGTAATGGGTTATACAGAAAATAGAAAATTTAGTTTATACAAAGTCTTAACAATATTTCTGCTCCACACACTCGCCGGTTATTTTTCATATCCGGAATATTCCGGGCAATGGTTTATGAACACGTGTTTCGCGGTAGCTAACACTGAGATCACGAGATAGAGCAACTTTGCATCTGTAACACGATATAAAATAGTTTTTGCGGTATTTTTCGCGTAACTAAAAGTTAGCGGCAGTCAACAGTAGAGAGTGTCTCTTTAGCGATAGATAAAAGCCAAGAGAGCGACTGTTCTTCTCGATAAGCAAAAGATAAGAGAGAGAGGGAGAGAGAGAGAGAAAGAGAGAGAGAGAGAGTGAGTGGTCTGCCTAGCGAGTCTCAGCAGACGGAAGAGAACGACTGTCCTCAACGACAGTCAACAGACAAGAGAGAGTCTTTCTTCTTTGCTATTTTAAAACTGTCTGTGTTTCTAAGGGAGGGGAAGTTGAACTGTAATAGGAAGGGTTATCAAGGGTTGGACTAAGGTAATAATTGTAAAATTGTGATAGAAGGATAGTTAATAATAGAGCGAAAAATGACATGATTTTTCGCATGTGAAAAAATTGAACACTAAGGATTTACACAAGTCAGGGTCGAAACTATCCCATAATTCATCTAATTTACTCTTCAAATCGGCGACGGTTCTCTGGGGATCATTACGCGTTTTCTGTTTCATCTTATGCCACAATCTCTCAATAGATCTCAAACTTAAGGTTTGGACGGCTCAGAAGCCATGAGAGGACTTAACGTGTTAATACATATCTCCAAACCATTTTTTAGTTGTTTTAGCTGTATGGCATGCTTCACCGTCCTGCTGAAATATAAAATTTAAGTCCAGTCAAGTCCGTGAGCACTTGGTACAATACTATTTTTCAAAATTACTTTGTGGCGTAATTGTGCCTTACGCCACCTTATATCTTCCTAGATCCGCTGATGACATACAGCCCCAAATCATAATTCCTTTGGGAAACTTCACAGTTCTTTTGAGCCAATCTTTATGGAATGCTTCGTTTTTATTTCTGATAACCCGTTTTTGAAAGTGTCACACGCAAACATCAAATTTCGATTCGTCACTGAATATCACTTTGATCCAGTCATCAACGGTCCATGAAAACTTTAAGCAACTGTCAACAGTTAATCATAAAATGCTTTCTGGACAAATGTTTTACCCGTTTAAGTGTCGATGATCAAAAACATTTATTTCAACACTTTTATTTACAAGCGAAGCCTCAACAGGACTCTTTGTGGGCTCAGTGTATGAAAAAACTTAACGTGGACCGTAAACGACTCAAGAATAATCCAAAAGTTTTACGAGCGTATACATGGATTTCGTGTCTCAAAAGGGTGACAGAATAAAAACATGTCGGACCATGATCCAAAAACTTTTTCAAGTATCTGTGAAGTGCATTCGTGTAGTACAAAAGAAGGTAATTGAGGGGGATTTATTTACAGAAAAGCGAGGGACACATGCGAACAGACCCCACAAATTGGCTCCCAACATGCATGACTTGCTTAAAGAGCATTTGGAAACTATTCCGTTTAAGAAAAATCATTATGCCCAATACAAATCCGAACTAAAATATTTTGAGAATCCCGAATTAAATATTAAAAAGCTGTATGAGCTTTTTGTACAATACTATAAAGAAAAGACATGCACAAATCTAAAGATGAAATAGAAGACGACATACTTTCAGTATTTTAAGTCACTGCGTTTATACAGTTTCAACAATCCCAAAACAGACGTATGTGATTTCTGCACAGAATGTAAACAAAAACTATCTATTAATCCTAATGATGCCGGTGAAATTTCCTATCTCCTTCATAATGTGAAAGTAAAGCGACAAGCGACATATAGCAACGAGAAGGAATCTGATAGAAAGAAGTAAAACTGACAGTAGTTGCCTTGTTATTGAATTTGACTATGGACAAAACTACCAGTTCCGAAACTCAATGTAACAGTACAGTTTTATATATCTTTGAAACATCTTATTGTAACTTTAGTTTAAATACAATACTTTTATTTTAGCTTTCAATGATGTTCAAAGTTTGTTCAATCTTTGTTTTCAAAGTACTTGTTAAATTTTCAATTGCGTATTTCTCAAAAGCGTCATTTGGCATATGAGCTCTTTTTCCGGGGGTGGCCTCAATTATTAAATTCAAGTAGTAATGGGAAAGTCCAGATAGATAATAAGCGACTTTAATTTTAAAATATGCAAAATAAATCGTGTTTAGCTTAAGCCAAAAAGTGCAATATATGAATCGATATGCACTTTGCATATATTCACATATTTGCATACATAAATAGCGTGTATTTCTATACAAAAATATTTGCTCTGATAACCCTCTGAAAATCTGAATTTATTTCTTTTAATTTCAGATCAACCAGATTTTGGCGAACCTCCTCCTTTGGTACAAGAGATGCATCGGAACTCATTGGACCTATTAAAGGAAATCGACAAGCCTTCAGTGTCCAACGGAGTATCGGAAGTTTGTAACGGTGTGATAAAAGTAAAACGCGAGACTGACGAAGTCTCCAGAGACGCGCTAAAGGCGGGAGTGTTGTTAAAAGATGAAAAGACTGGCGATAATGGTGATATAAATCATAATAGTAACGGGAATAGCGAGACTTCTTGTACAGTTAAAGACGATAATGAGAGATCGGAGAGTGATTGTGTTATGTCCGGAGACGTTGTGGGGACTTTTTTAGACATGGAGAGGTCCAATGAGACCAGTACGGAAACGCTTGTTGGGGAAGACACTCCGTAAGTTACTTTATATTTGTAATAGACATTTATTATCATTCCGACGACAACATAAACAGTGTAATGTTATTCATAAAGAATGGGTATTATATTACCAGTAGATTATTTGCGGAAAATAATAATTTTTGCCCGGTTACATGGACGAAATTATTTATTTATGCTGTTATATTTCAATTAGTTTGTAAGTACATACATGAATACTCAGATAACACGTGTTGCATAGCATCGGTTACTTCAGTGCAACGTTTCAGTTGCGTGAGCAGTGTATTTCTTACAGAAAAGGGCCCGCGGTCCTTATCACCCCTTAAATGAGGGAAGGGTATGAAGAATACTCTCGAAGAATCAAAAATAAAATGCAGGTATATGAAAAGATAGTATGCATTGTCAGCTGGAATATAAATGCATTCCAGGAAAAATAGCAATCACGGAAACATAGATGAACAGAGAGACATACTGGGTCTGGACGAGGTAAGATGGTAAAGGCTTGGTTCAGGATAAGAAAAAACAATCGAAGGGTACCTTTATTACTCCGAAGAAACTGATACAGGGCATCAATATGGAATAGACATACTTGTTTCGAACATATATGTACAGTTATCATACTAACAAATAACCTGTCAGAGCTACAAAACAAAATAAATTCCGTAGTCTGATATAGCAAAATGTTATGCTTACACTAAACGTTAAAACCAAAATATTAAAATCTTCAAAGACGTCGATGAAGTGACAAAAATAGAACAAATACCCTCTAAAATATCTGGCAGCTAATGTCAACAGCGAGTGAAACCCAAAAAGAAATAATATCAATAATTGAATAAGCATTAAGACATTTTTTAAAAGATCATGCCGCAATTTAAAGCTCACAACTCGTTACCTTTTCTCTGCTGTACGTTGCAATGGACTTTCAAAAAGAAAAGGGGCCTTTGAAATATGGGCCTTTATATATAAAGGAGGATATTGCTCCTTTATATATAATCCTTTATATCCTTTATATATAAAGGAGGATATTGCTCCTTTATATATAATCCTTTATATCCTTTATATATAAAGGAGGATATTGCCAATTTCAAGAATACAAACAATCACAAATGACGATGTTCCCCAACGCATGTGTAAACAGAAAGAACTATTAACAGGCGTTTTTTTCCATAAACTTGGAATATTGTGTATGTATATCAAAATGGGTAAACAACAAGGCTCAAATTTTTGGTTGTGGCCACCCAATTGGGTGTATAATAATAATTTATTAATTAAATTAGTACAAAGAAATCTGTGATTTAAATTGAAAAATGTTTGTATTGTTCTGAAGCTATTTTCTTACAGCATTTTAAAGTAATTACTATTTTAATGGGAATAAGCCACAATTGAAGGTTAAAATAAGTTTATTGGCGTTTCAATTTCCACTTCGGAAATCGTTCTCAAAATATAAACATTAATAAATTAAACCAATTTTGTTTTTTGTTACTTGGTTAAAAATTCTTCTAACAATTTAATTTTATCTGACACATTTACCTATATTGACATTTCAAACATATATGGTACAGTTTAAAGTAGAGGACTTTAAAATGATATTGCCAATATTGCTAAGTTGTATTTCTGGGATGACTTTTATATACGATAGATCATTTAATTACAATTATATTCTCAAGTTAAGGTTGATTTCATGTAATATATTGGTTTTCCCACGAGAAATCAAATTGTAGTGGTAACATTGTTCTATGATAATAAATAAAGAAAATATAGCTTTGGCACTCCTGCGCAGTTGACAAGATTTTGTCTATGGCATCATTGGGAGTACGCATGTCTACCCAATTGGGTGTATGTGGCACTTATCCTGTTAAAACATCATCAAAGAAATAAAAATGCAATATTGGGTCATCTATTAACAGGTGAAAGATATGATTACTTTGGCTCATTATAGTGAATAAAATATGGAGTAAAAGGTCATTAAGATGACGCCAGAATTGACGAATAAAGAATCTGTCTATGTGGTTTGACTGTTCACGTGGAGAAATCAGTTTCGAAAACTACGCTTGCCAATTGCATCGCCAACCTTCGGAGAGAGATGGCGCAGTAAGAAGAGTAGTATTTTTATGGCTTTAACAACATGTAAATGGGTTGAATGGTAATATAAAGAAAGGAAAGGAAGCAAGAACGGAGTTAGTGGTTATATGGGAAAACATAAAAAACGTAGACATATAATACCTAGACTGCGAGCTGCAATCTAAACCCGTTCCCCCAATGCGAAATATATGAGAAAAAGTCCTTGCATATCTTTCTAATGTACAGGGTTTATCGACCATGTAATCTTCCACTATCGAACAATCTCCAAACGTGAGGAAGCTATGTAAATATAACTTAAATTTTTACATTAACTATTACATTAATCCTCCTCAGTCCTAATCCCTTTTGGGATATGGTGACACCATCAGGCCTTTAAAGTTTTTTCACGATTTCCCTCCATCCTTCCCTGTTCTGGGCTAGTTGTTCGGCTTCGTGTAACCATTGGTTAATCAATATTTTTGTTTGATCTACCCAACGGCTTAGAGATCTTCCCCTAGGTCCTTTTTCCTTCAACTCTACCCTCGACTATCAGTTTTTCCATCGTACCTGTTCTTCTAGCAATGTGTCCAAAATACTGCAAATATCTCTGTTGTATTTGGTTAAGCAATCTATCCTTTACTTTAAGTTGTTCTAATATCGATACGTTAGTGCAATGATCAATCCAGGATATTCTTAACAAGCGGCGGTGGACCCAAATTTCAAAAGCGTCTAGTTTAGTTTATTTTTATGCGGTTTCTTTAAGGTTCACGTTTCAGATGCATATGTGGCTATGGGAAAAATGGGTACCCTTACCAGACTTAGTTTTGGGTGTATTGTTATGCTAGAATTTCTCCAAATTGTTACCAGTTTCATCATAGCTGTTGTAGTAATAGTCAACCTTCTACGTATATTTCTGTCACACCCTCCGTCATTTGTTATTAGAGACCTCGGGTATATAAAACTATTTACTACTTCAAAGCCCACAATTTCTTGTAATGTGTTGAAGATTATTCCGAGCTATATCTAATATCATGATCTTTTTCTTACTACTATTTAGCTTTAGTCCATATGTTTTGCTTTTCTCCTCCAGACATCTAAGTATGTCTTCCCATTTCTTCTTGATTTGCCGCGATTATTAAAGTGTCATCAGCAAATCTCAAGTTACTGATTTTTTGAGCTCCTACTGATATTCCACCCTTCCATCCGTCTAGTACCTTTCGCATAATGTGTTCGCTGTAGATATTAAACAGAGTTGGCGAGATTATGTATCCCTGTCTGATACCTGCCTCTATTCTGAAATGATCGGAATGTGTGTTGTTTATTTTTTCTGTGCACTTATTATTTTCATATAGACTTCTAATTAGTTGAATTAGATGGTGGGGTGTTCCCCTTTCCGCTGGTATGAACCATAGCTGCTGCCATTTGACTTTATCGAAGGCCTTTGTGTAATCCACAAAGCACATAAGCATAGGAGTATTGAATTCACGAGTTTTTTCGATTAGCTGTCTGACATTAAGGATGTGTTCTCTTGTGCCTTTTCCTGGCACAAATCCCTCTTGTTCTTCTGATATCTGAGGCAATAGAAAAGCTTTTAGTCTTTCATGTATTACAAGAAGTAGAACTTTGCTTCCGTGGGAATTTAGGGTTACCGTTCTGTAGTTGCTGCAATCTAGAGGAGTTCCTTTTTTGAATATAGGGATAAAAGTGGATGTTGTCCAGTCTTTGGGTCATTACATTAATAATTAATATTAAATTTTATATATAAAAAAAGAAAAAATCAGTGGGAGAAACTGTCCCACTGAGGGAATAGGCTTAGATTGCAGCGGGAGTTTAGGTATATATCAGTAAAAAAGACAAAATTACCGTAATGACAATAAATCTATTAACGAATGCAAGCAAAGAAGAGTAAAAATATTTAGACTAACAGACTTAATTATGTAATACGTTTTAATAATCATAATATTATAACCTTTATTGTATATATTTGAAACTTATTTATATAATGTAAATAGTAAGGTTAATCTATTAGTAACAGCTAATATTATAAAGTAAAATATCCAGAGAAGCACACCCTGTCATATCATTATCATAGCAAACACTCATTATCTTGTTGTAGATAGATAGCCGTATACAGGTTTAAAAAAATTCTCCACGGGATATTTTTATAGTATGCCAAGAAAACGAAGAAATAGTTTTTTAATGTTAGTAGCACCAAAATTCCAACATAAATATTGTCAAGTGAATGTTATAAATAAATAAAATAATTTATGTTAACCCTTAATATTTTATTTGTATTTTGAGCAGGAAATTCAAGTTCGGTATTACCACCTATGCCGCAACAACATTTTCGTGCCTACAGACCGACCACATCACAATATTTTTTACTATAACCACCTTTTCTTGATTTTTTTCAGGAATTTCCCGAACAGGCGAGTTATAAAAGACTTTTAAATGCATCATGATAATGTAAAGCTAGTGTTAATAGGACTCTAAAAATAAGGGTTAGTTTTATTACATGTTAATGATAAAAGTATCTGAGTGCGCGCGAATGGTTTTGGTCTGTAGTTACTAATATTTCTTTAAAGTGATGTTCAGTTACAGTATGTTTTATGTCAAGGTTTATTTTTGGTTAGTCTGCGGTAATCCATCGAGAAAAATCATAATTAGAATGGGCTGTAAAGTTTATATGTCTTGGATTTTACACACTTTCCTAAGACATTTATCACTTAACATTTGAACTGTCTACAGTTTATATGAACTCGTAGTGATTATGTAAAAAAATCATTTGTGATCGGCATAATAATCAAAATTCACGTAACACCACAGAATGTATTGAAAGTATTGTTCATTTAAGTGTAAACTCTTCTCTGCAATCAAGCAAACACATCAGTGATTAGTTACTGATTACTTCCCACATAATGAAATGTTTCTCGGTGATGTATGCCATTGAGTATCTT